CCCCCTTGGCCCCCCCCCCCCCCCCCCCACCCACTAGGAGCCCCAGCCCTGCCACAGCACCAGCCCATCCCCAAACCACCCTTGCCGCCAGCACTACCAACACCTATGCCACTCTCATGGTGTCCACTGGTGCATTTTCCACCACCTCCACGGCAGTGCCTTCAACTGCCATGCTAGAGGCCTCTTCCATTGTCAGATCTTCATCTCCTCCTCTGACGCCGACCACACCGGTGGTCTCCACCACCGTGCTTTCCACTCGTCCTCCAACGCCGCCAGCTCCCCTGGACACCACACACTTCACCCAGCCTGCACCTTCCCCTCCACCTGGACCTCCCTCCCTCTGCCCATGCTCCATCCCAGGACTGGCTATACCTGTGCTACGCTCACGGGCAGGTGGGGAGGGTCCGCAGTGGGGGCAGTGGGTGCTGAGGCATTGCTGCCTATTGCACTGGGTGCTCTACCTGGCCTCCTTGGCTCTGCTGGTCCTGACTGTGCTGGCTCTAGCAGGCTGGCTGGCATGGATGTGTCTGGTGGGATGGCCCTCCTGGCACAAGTCTCTGCAGACCCAAGAGGTGCAGCATCCACTGCTGAGGTGGAGGGAGTCGACAGGAAGCCCTGTGATGCATCTCAGCAGCTTCAAAAGCCCCCTCCAGCGCCCCATGTTCTGTACCATCAAAGAAGTGGAGTTGTGCCCTGAGGTCACTTACTGCACAATTAAAGACCTGGGGATACAGTGCAGTCCTCCTGCAAGTTCCTCCTTCTGCACCACGAAGGAGCTGTGGGTCCACCACAGTCCTCTCAATGCCTCATTCAAGTCTTTCTCCAGGAAGCTGATGGTCACAAACCTCAGCTCCCTGAGGACCCCTTCTGCTTACAGCCTGGACAGGGGTGTCAAGGCCATTGGTGATGTCAGAGTGAAATATGCTGGCAACACCTTGTAAATGCTTCTGTACGTTCAAAGAGATGGAGGGTCATGGCTCTGCTTCATGTACGCTTGTTTTACAAGGGAAAGATCTGCTTGCCCAGGAGGAAGCCATTCAGCTCCTTCCCCTAGTATTACTCTCACACACTCTGAGGTTTCTAGATCTGAAATTATTACTTGGGTACTTGGCAGAGGGAGAAGATGCCCTAAACTGGTCACTGATAGTTTGGGGCTGACACTGCCTGCTTTCGGGGTGAGTGTGGGAAAGCAGAGCTTACTTTGCACTCTGCGTCCCAACTGCTTCTGTTCGAATGATGCACATCGTAAAGATTCGCTATGCTTTCAACTCAGTGCCAGGCTGTTAATCATAGAATAAATATTCTCTTTGCCTAAATGTCAAATGGGTGCTAGTTTCATTTCATTGGACCTCCCGTAGTCCTGGCAGGGTACAGTGAATGACAAAATTGTCTTCAGTGCTTGGAATAGTGAAGACAGAGAGGAAAAGTCCACTTACACCCAGCTTCCTGACTTTTGCCCCACATGTATGATCCTCCACTGTGGGATTGAATCATGTGGGAAAAGCATGCCACTGTATGTCCGCTGTCATATAATAAGTTCAGGAAATGGTAGGTGTCGATGCCTCTGCGTGACCCGTCGTGGGATGGCTGGAAATGGGGGAGGAGGGCGGGAGGCTTCAGAGGGCGATGGATGTGACTTGTAAGGGATCACACTAGGACAAAATGTCCAGGCGCTGGCCAAACTTTGTGACCACCTGTGCAGAAGTCACCCAAACATTTTGGGAGGTGTGAGAAAGAGGCAGAAGTTGTCATTGGCGGGGGTCAAACGGCAGGCCCCAACACTGGTGCACAAGTGCAGCGACTAGATCATATGAAACACTTTTCCAGTCTCAAACGCCGTTCCAGTTCTAACTGTCCCAAACGTATTGTCCAGCTCCTGTGGGTCAGCAGGCCTTCTGCCAGATTAATTAATTGGTCCACAGAAGGATACGTGTGCCTGTGCTGGGCCAGCTGGGGTGAGCATCCTTCTATGCAAGCGTCTCTGCTTGTCAAGCTCATGTGTGCTAGTGTGTCTGCGGACATGTGAGCTCCGCATTTGTAAGCATTTGTCTGTGTGTTGGTGCTGTCCTCTGACCCCCACCATACTCTCCCCCTTTTTCCTGGGACAACAGGAACAGTCCCAGAGACCCCAAATTTGACCCAGAATTGCTCTGAACAACTCTAGAGATGACTGCAACAGCCCAGGAGACCTCAGATACCCTCAGAGCATCCAAGGGACACATGGGCGGTCTTGGGGAGACCCCAGAGAGCCCTATTACTTGAGTTTGAACTTTTTCTTTACATTGATTTTTTTTTTCCTTATCAGATACTTCTACTACATCTTGGGACATTTTTCAGCCCCTTCTGGTCTTATATAGCAATGTTGGTGATTAAGAATGACTTTTCTTGTTTTGTAACGGTGCTATTTCTCACATTCTTGTGCTTAGGCTCTGTGGTGGGGCAGCATGCATCAGCTCTCACCTCTCCAGGAGCTTTGACTTCCTTTTAACACTTCTCTCACAATGTCATGGCATCCAAGTTAGGCCATCAAGCTCTGAATGGCTGGAGAATTGGACAGGTAAAAAGTGGTGTGAAGGTCAGAACCAGTGGCTAGTGGTTAATGGATTATACTCGGCTGCTGGTAACATGTGGAGTACCACACGGGGCTGTGCTGGAAACTCTTCTGTTTAACATCTTTATCAATGACACAGAGGAGGCAACCAAATGTGCTTTTATCGTGTTGGCAGATGACACCAGGTTGGGAGGGATCAGTTCGTATGCTTCCAACAGGACCACCGTTCAGGGAGCACCATTCACCCTGGAGAAATGTGTTGACAGAAACCTGATGAAAGTCAACAAGGACAAATGCAAAGTCCTGTACCTTGGAAGGAAGACCACAGCAGTGCCAGTGGGGGACAGACTGGCTGGGGAGCAGAGCTACGGAAAAGGACTTGTGTGTCTTGGTCAACAGAAAGGTGAACAAGATCCAGCAGTGCACCCTGGCAGCAGACAGCAACAGAAGCCTGGGCTGTGTTAACAGGAGCATAGCCAGTAGACCAAGGGAAAGCGATTATCCCCCTCTACTCAGTGCTCATTAGCCCACACCTAAAATGCTGTTTTGGGGAGCCATGAGAACTTGCAACCCTCCCCTACACATCCCAGGACCCTCAATTCCCTCCCCAAAGGTACCACTGGTACCGCAATATCTCTCAGAAGCCCCATTACCTCTGCCTCTCCTTCCAAGTCATCTCTAGGATTCTCCCACCTCTCCACACAACAAGCACTCCAGTTCACTCCAGGAAGCCAAGACCTCCCAGAACCACCTAGGAAGCCCAGAGCCCCTGGGACCCCCCAATGCCCTCATCTACCCTGCCATCTACCCCAAAACCCTGGCATCTCCAGGACTCTCCTATTCCCTCAGGATCCTCCATGCACCCCAAGACACCTCTCTATCCCTAGACACACGCACACCCTCCCCCATGCCCAGTGAACACAGGCACCCAGAGCCCCAGTGGCCTCCACCCACCGCTCCCCAGGGGACCCAGGAATCCAGGCAATCCTGGTCCCCACCACCACCCATCCAGGACACTCAGGCCATTGGTCTCCTGCTCTCCTCCTGTTCCTTGTGAGAAGCACCTGGATGTCTGGGATCCCCAGCAGAAACAAGAAGACCCAGATGGGCAGTTCAGGAGCCACTTTTATTCAACCCAAGAGTCGGGGGAAATTGGGGGAGCCCCAGTGCCTAGTGAAAGGGGCAGGGCAGGGGAATGAGTATTCCTGGAGGCACAGGGTTGCAGTGTGGGGAGTCTTTGTGTCCCCCATGCCCTAGCATGTACCCTGGGGGTGGGGGGTTGCCGGAAACCACAGGAGGAACCCATCATGGGGAAAGGATCTGGGGGCGATTTTGTCCCATAGAGGTGCCCATGGATGCTAGCTGGGGATCCCAGTATGGGGTGCAGAGCTTTTAAGGCCCCCCCCTAAGTATTATTGGGGGTGTCAGGTGATCTCGAGGGGTCCTCAGGGCAGTTGGGGCCACGCAAGGCAGGGGGTACAGTGAGGACACAAGCCTGGAGGTCAGTATAGGCATGGGGCAAGGTGCCCCGGGTGATCCAGCGCCGGGTGCCTGGCTGGTAGGCGTGGATCAAGTGGGTGTCCCGGTAGGTCTCATGACTGTATCCTCCCAGTACGAGCAGCTCCCCCCCCACCACAGCTGCGCCCCCAACGACATGGGCATGGGGCAAGGGGCTGAGGAGGACCCAGATGTCCAGCTTGGGGCTGTAGACCTCAAAGGCCAGCTGGTCCCTGTAGCCAGCCTGCCCATCCCGCTGGCACAGCCCCCCGGCCACATAGAGTTGCCCACCCGCCTCCTCCATGATGTGCCCAGCTCGCTGGCCATTCATGGGGGCCAGGAGCATGGCAGGCGCACCTGGGATGTAGCGCAGCATAGCCGCCTGGCACTGGCACGCCTCATCACACCCCCCTGACACGTAGAGGGCACCATCCAAGGCACTCGCTGCATGCCCGCACAGAGCCATCGGCAGGGGCTGGCACCTCCTGGGCAAGGAGAGAGGGAGGGGGTGAAGGGCAGGTTAAGCAGGGCTGCCTCATGGTGACTGCCTGCCCAGGAGTTTCCCAGTGAGCCATGGCTCCATTGACCGCTCAGCAGTCAATGCTGGCCAACACCCAATGAGCCCCAGTGGGCAGCATCAGCTAACAGATAATGGATGCCCAAGGGCCATCACTGTTCAAGACTTTATAGACCCCAAAAGACACTATTGGTCAACCCACAGTGGACTCCCTAATTGACAATATTGGCCAACAACCAACAGAGCACCCAATGAACATAGCTGGAAGATGTTTAAATGACTCATCTTACTGGCAGATGGCCAACAGACCCTCAGTGAATACTGTTGGCCAAAAACTCATTCACCACCCAATAGGCACCACTGGCCAACACCCAATGACCTCCAAGGGACATGGTTGCTCAACACCCAGTAGACCTCTCCCAAAGGCCACTGTAGGCCCATTGTCCATTGGAGGCTCGGTGACCCAAAGACCACTCAATGGGCACCGCTGGCCATTGCACCCCCCATGCAAGGGGCTGCTAGGGCAGAGGAAAACAGGTGGCCACGTAGAGCGGTCTCACCTCCAGGTGTCTTTGGCCAGGTCATAGCACTCCACAGTGTCTGTGCAGTAGAGCTCCCCCGAGCTGCCCCCCAGGGCATAGATGAAACCCCCAAGTGCCACAGCGGCAAAGTAGCTCCGCCCACAGGTCATGCTGGCCAGGCGCTCCCAGGAATCATCCATAGGCTGATACCTGTGTTTGAGAGGTAAAGAGGCAAGAAACTACCTGTTATCTACAATGCCATGAGGTAATGTTGGCACCGCTGAGGGCAACAACCCACCTACAACCAGCCAATCCCATAATGCCTTGGGGCCACATGGTCCCCTTGCGTGAGAATATCCTCTCCTTTCTGGGCAATAGCAAACCCATAATGCCCTGAGGCATCTCCAGATAGGAGGAGCCTCTCTGCCCTACCCCCAAAAAGCCTGTAACATCCCAGAGTCAAAGGGCACCTCCCAGTCCTACACCCAACCAATCCCAGAATGCCTTGGGGCCACTTGACCAGCTGCACTGCCACAACGCTTTGGGTCCATGGGGCAGCTCTAGCTCCACCAACACCTCCTCTGATCCCACCTCTAGGTCCTCTGTAGCCCTCACCTGTAGACACTGGTCAGGGTATCATGAACCCCGTAGTAGTGCTTTCCACCCAGGATGTAGAGGATGTTGCCCACCACAGCTACAGCATGGCGGAAGCGTGGGCCGTCAGGGAAGTGCCCCAGTGGCCGCCACTCCACCCGCTTCACCCACCCCC